ACTTGTATGGATTTTTTTGAGACAGGCGTGGGAAGATCGGAGAATGCTCGACATTTGTCGGGGTTGGATTTGATTCCCCGTTTGGTCAGATAGAAGCCGATGAATTTGCCCGCCTTAACCCCAAAGGTGCATTTTTCCGGATTGAATCTCATTTTACATTGCCTCACTTGGGTGAAGACTCTCCTGAGGTGTGAAACATGGTCGGTTTCTGTTCGAGATTTGACGATCATGTCGTCCATGTATACCTCGAGCATGTCTCATATCTCGTCATGGAAGACTTTGTTCATCATCCACTGGTATGTTGCCCTTGCATTTTTTAGGCCGAAGGGCATTATGTTGTAAAAGTAATTGCTCGAGTCGGTCATAAAAGCAGTGCAATATTTATCGCTCATTGCCATTGGAATTTGGTTATAGACCAAGTAGGTGTCCATAAAAGATAAAATTTTGTAGTCGGTCGAGTTGTCGACCAACATATCAATGTTAGGTAAAGGAAAAGCATCTTTAGGACATGCCCGATTAAGATCAGTATAATCAACACACATTCTCTATTTTCCATTATTCTTTTTGACAAGTACAATGTTTGAGAGCCAGGTTGAGTATCGGGCCTCACAAATAAAATTTGCCTCTAGGAGGTCTTTTATAGCTTTTTCAACAGCATCTGCTTTTTTAGGAGACTGCTTACACCTACGTTGCACTACTGCCCTAGCGGCTGGATCAACGGTGAGTCAGTGACAGGTGACCTCAGGGTCGAGTCTGGGCGTCTCTGCAACACTCCATGCAAACAAACCAACATTCTCCCTCAGGTAAGCTTTGAGTTGCTTCCTCACCAGGTCGGGGAGTCCAGCATCGATCTTCACGCCTTTGTGGGGATCTTGGCCGAGGAGGATGAACTCGAAATCTCCATCTAAGATGGTTCAGAGAGGATCATGTTCTCTATTGGGGGATTCAACTTTATCTTTGTCAAAGCGGGAATCGAGCAAAATGGAGTCGACCTTTGGTGGAGCCTTTTGTTCTTTGATATGAGCAGACTTTGATTCAGGCCGAGTTGTGTTTTCTCTTTTGGTGGGCTGTGCTCCAGCGTCGACCATGCTTTTCCCTTTGGAAGACACGTGGAAACATCTCCTGGTAGCTGCGATGTCTCCATGGATAGTGGCGACGCGGGCCCTCCTGCTGTAGAACTTCATCTTCAAATGGACTGTGGAGGGCACAACTGTTCGCTCGGCCACTGTCGGTCTCCCGAGGATGTAGTTGCAGAGAGACAGGCAATCGACCACCATAAACTGCACCTTGACTTGTCGGGATGTAATTTCTTTCCCGAAGGTGACAAAGAGCTCAACGTAACCCCACGACTTGGAGGTTGATCCGTTGAATCCTTGCAAGTCGGACCCCACGTATGGTGATAGGAGGGTATCGTCGAGCTGCAAGGTTTGAAACAGATGGTTGTACATGACGTCGACAGAACTCCCCTCGTCGACCAGAATATGATGTACATCAAAGTTGGCCATCCTTTCCCTCACCAGCAGAGGAATGTTTGAGTTTGGGGCTCCACCAGGCAACTCCTCTAGGTAGAAAGTGATTGGCTCAGAATTTCCTTTAAACCTTTCAAGTGTTACTGCCTGGGTTGGGGCTGCATCCACCAACTCGTCAAGCTTCCTCTTCGTCGATTTCACTGAGACGCTATTGAATCCTCCGCCAGATATGACCATGATGGAGGGGAATTTCTCCATCTGCTCTGTATGGACAAAGGTTCGTCTTCGTAGATGTTGGGGATGTAGAAGTCTTCGAGCCTTATCACGGAGAAAGCCACCCGAGGGGACCCGATTCATCAGACGGTCAGGTTTCTTCCTCGATTTCTTTTACTTCGCGGATGTCTCGCCGAGGGACATCATTGCGTCTGTACTGCCCGAGTCTCCCACCCTTGATGAGAGTCTCGATGGCATCCTTGAGGTGAGCGTAGTCTTCTGTTAAGTGCCCGTGGCTCGGATGGTACTGACAATATTTTGTTATGTCTGCCTCGGGCTTTGCAGGAGCGGGTCAAGGACTTATGATGTCGTCGTCCTTGAACTCGGTATTACGAGAAGCGGTCAGCGGGGTGTACTATATGAATCGCCCTGCTAGTCCTATATGATTGCGGGGATCGTGCAGTTTCTCCTCCCTTCTCTTCTCCGCAGTCCGTCGAGAAAGGTCCGTGTCTTGGTGTTGCGGGATGTTAGTCGGTCCGTGATTTCTCGACTCACAGGATTTATTGGCTGCTTCTTTCTCCTCGTAGTCCATGTATTCTCGGGCCTTTTTGAGGAGAGCATCGAAAGACTGGGGGGGGGGGCTCAATGTCGACGGCCTTTCTGAATTCAGTTCCCGGAAGGAGACCCCTCTCGAGAAGGTATCTTTTCATGTGATCGACGTACGGGACCTGAATGGCCTCGTGGTTGAACCGGTTAATGTATTCCTTAAGGGTCTCGTCGCTCCTTTGTATGATTGCCTCAAGGGCTGCCTCAGTCTTCGGATGTCGACGAGACGCGGTAAAGTTACTGATGAACTGGTTCTTGAAGATCCTCCAAGAGGTGATTGACCTGGGGGAGAGGTTCTTGTACCAATCCATGGCTGTTTTTCTGAGTATCGCGGGGAACAACCGACATTTAATTGACCCATCGACGTTGTGCTAGTGGAGCATTACTTCAAACTCGTCGATATGGTCGACAGGATCAACAATGCCATCGTACTCCTTTAGTAAAGGAGGTTTTTCCATTCCCCTAAGAATGAGAGCCTCCATGATTTCTTGGGACAATGGACCATGGAGGTTGTCTTTGTCACTTATGTCTGGAGAACGAGAGGGGGTCTGGTTGTGGCGTCGATCATCGTGACAGCCTTGGCCACAGAGAGGATCCCTTAGCCGAGATAGTATTTCTCCATTTCCTCTGTTTCTGTTGTTTCCAGGGGAATGTCTCTCCCTGCACGGGGGTGTGTGACTGCGCCTCCCTATAGCTTCGGGCTGACTCCTCTCCAACGCAGGTCCTCGACCAATTCGTCACGGAGAAGGGTTACGCGAGATATTCCGTCTGCGTCTCTACGGGGGAGATTGGGGAAGGTCTTCGTTGTGTCGGGGAATAGGAGTGTCAGGTCTTCTGTGTCTTCTGGGGGGGCCGACGAGTTTGCTCAAGCATCCTCAGTCATTCACCCTGTGAGAAGATCATGTAGTTGGTTTAGTTGATGGCTGCGAATAGAGCTCTGATCATGACGTCAACACCTGCAGGAATGGGGACCTCATGGTATGCATTTGGTTCGTAGTTCTGGGGAGGACAATAGTCATCCTCGCGCGGTTACGATTGGGATGATGAAGAGGCGGTCAATCTGTCTCTGTAGTTTTGCTTGAGACCGACCATGTTGATGTTGTTGCGAGCATTATTGTTGCCGACATTATTATCGCCGACGTTGTTATTGTTGGGGTCAACGAGATGGTCGTTTGGGTTATTATCGATAGCTTGGTTGGCCATGACAATCATACAGTTTGATGAAGAGTTGCTTTGGTCTTGAGAGGAAGACGAGGAAGCTCGATTCCCACATACGGCGTCACTGATCGTAACTGATCAGAAGGAATTTTCAAAACCCACAAGCTTCAAGTCGAGCAACAGTTAGATGTGAAATGAGGGGTACCTGCAAGACACTCCGATGCCAAAGTGAGGTTCAGAGCTAATGCAAGTGAGTAGAAGAATACAAATGAGTGAATGAATACCTGGACCTCTCAAGTGAGAGGGTATTTATAGTCCCCAGCGCTGGGCCAAGATCTCCATTGCTGGGCTGAGGAGGCAGGCCCAAGAATAGAGACTGCTAGGTCCTACGCGCGTAGTGGGCCAGCACGTGGTCCCCAACCTGGATGGATTCCTCTGAACTATCAGGAGGATATGGATGCAGTCTTTTCGGAGTCAATAGGACTCTGTGATATTCGGGGGTGTTGAGTGTCAACCCTACGAAGAGAATGCTTGGAGGACTTGTCTTGGTCGACGAGAGTGTTGACGGTGCCCGTGAGGAACTTCTGAACATTGTTAGTTCTGCTCGTTGTTCATGGGTTATCCCCGTAGGAGACAACTAAGTCGACCAGAAGAGTGTAGTTGTTACCCGACATGGTCGAAAGTAGACTCTTCTTACTGGCCTTCTCATGTAACATAATTGAATTAAATCTTGTATGACGTTTGAGCCAAGTATAGGCCCAATCCAGAACAGATACGCATATATTTTTTTCTACCGTGCATATTAAAAAAAAGCAGACAAATAAATAGATATAAGAGTGTTCGTTTGAATGCTAAGAAAAAAGATAATTATTTACTATTTTATATATTTAAAATAAAAAATAAAAAATAAAAAGTTTTGCCGAGTAGTTGAACATATTTATTGATTTTGCTAAGAAAGGGAGAAAAAAAACCAAACTACATTTAATGTTTAGTTTGAAAAAAAAAAACGAATGTCATAATACATCAAAAAGTGGGTTATCATCAAAAACGTCACCACCACCCGACCTCGTCGCAATCCTGTCTCTCCCCCTTATTCTGCCATTCCGATTCCTTTTCACTGGTAATGTAACTTCGCCACTTTCTCATTCTGATCTCAATTCCACACTCACACAGATTCCCATTTTTCAACCAATATTATTCATCAATTATAATTCAACATGCCTTTTTTTTCTTCCCTTTCGATCCATATCCTAAAACCATTATCCTTCACGTTTTATGTTCTGATCGCGTAATTTTGAAATTCTGATTGTGTATATGACTCCAAATACTGAATTTTCATTGATTAGTATGTAATCGTTTATGATTATTCAATTCTGATTGTGTTCATGTTTTGTAATAATTAATAATGTAGTGGACATGTTTTGCAATTAGAGGTTTCCTTCTGATTTTTGGTTTGTTAGAATCATTTGTAGTGAAAAACTATTTCTAAGTTGTTTGTTGTTGCTTGACTGTTAGTTAAAGGGGTTGCAAACTGGATGATTGAGGCCTTGTAGCATGTCAGCGAATAATCATCTAATGGAACTTGGAAGGCCCTCATCAGGTATTTTTATCATACTTAATAGAAAATGGAACATGCACTGTCTAGTTTCTTGAGAAGTTGAATGACATGGCAGGCCTTTTACAGGTAGAAGAAGATTGAAAGATTTATTGGTTCAGAAGGATAATCGTGTTTGTGCTGATTGTAATGCCCCAGATCCTAAATGGGCGTAGGTTTTTTGTTCTTGCACTCATGATTTTTCTGGACATGAATATTGCTACTGTGAATTTATTTTTGAAGGTAATTTTCAGGTCTGCTAACATTGGGGTGTTTATATGCTTAAAATGTTGTGGTGTGCACAGAAGCCTTGGGACTCATATATCAAAGGTAAACCATTAATATGTACCATAATAAAAAAGAAAACTATTTTTACTGGTTTTCTCATTGCTGTGGAATCATTGTTTCCTCAGGAATATTTATTCTTTTTAATGTGAAATGTTTGATGTTTGTACAGTTATCTTATGCGTTGCTGTCTTCGACAAATTTAAAAATTTGAAAACTCATTTGTATGGGTTGTTAATTTTCCAGAACTTGTGTTAGAAATGCATCTAACATGATATGGAGGAAGAGGAAAAGAATAAATAACTTTCATGACTTGCAAACCATGTTTGTCTTTCAATTTAACATTCACAAGACATCTTCAAGTACATGAAATTGCAGTTACATGTATTAGATGCATGCTATTTCGTTAGTTTGGCCTTAGCTGTGAAAAACTATGTCAAAGTTAAATTCTCAGTTCGCACTAGAATTCCTTGTTTTGGTTCTATTTATAATTTTAAATGTATTTATGGTGGTTTTAACACTCCATGTCTAAAAGGAAGCAAACTATATTGACCAAAGTCATTGAATTCAAACTCAATATAAAAATATTAGGTATATTGGACCTAATTCATTCTTATAAAATCAACTTATAAAATGAGAAGTGCCGCTCTTTATAAACTCATTTCAAGCCTTTTCTCTTTCCTACGCGAGACTTGGAGTTTTTCCAACACTCTCCCTCATGCCCAACACTATTGGGCTTGGTGGGGGTTATATATGGTAGGTGACCCAAATCGATAACCTCTGATACCATATAAGGTTTTCATATCGGGCCTACTCATCCTTACAATACCGGTTTGCAAGGCGAGGGGTTACTAGGATTATAGAATAAAGTGAAATTAGAGTAATTAAAGTAGTCACGAGTTGTTATAGGAGTTGGTTAGTTAGTTGATGTTGTTATAGAGTATGTGTATAAATAAGATAATACAAAGGGTTGAGAGCATCTTTGAATATTGTAATTGAAAATAGAGTATTCTCTAATGTGAAGGAGAAATAAACCCTTGAGGAGATATTCTCTCCTATTCTATCCTATTTCTTTAAATTGTCGTTTCCTTGGAACGTAATTCTTTGGTTCTTAACAATTAGTCTTGCATGCTGGATTTTCAAGGAGTGCCTTTTGGATAGATTGCAAGGGCTGAAAAGATTTTCAAAGTGAAAGAAATTCATGGGTTTGATAAAGTGCAATGGACGCTCGTGAGCTTGGATGCTTGGACATTATTGTGGTTTTGTTCTTGGCATTAAGAAAATTCAGATCCAACCTGGAAATCTTTTTCTACTGGTCTGATCAGAAGATTTGAAGGCCGAAATAGTGGCTGTCTGGAACAGGGAGCAGCAATAGGGGGATACAACACGAAATGATAAAACAAGAAGAGAAGAGGAAAGGGTGCAACCTCCGTGGTCAAGAAAAGTGTCAAAGGGAGTGGCATGTCTAAAGGTTGATGGGTTAAGGGGTAAATATGTTCCATGGTATGTCCAACAAGTTGGAGGCATGACCTTCTCCAAAGAAGACCTTGTCACATCGGCAAGAACAATCTTTTGAAGGAGACAACTACCAAGAATCTTGCTCCTGGTCAAGAAGTTAGGTGACAGGAAGGTAAAAAATAAAGATGAAGCTGACTTGGAAAAGCAGAAGGTAGCAACAATGAACTGTTTTTTAGCTAAAAATAGCAGCTACAACAGAGCTTATATTACAGTTTTTGGGTCACAATTTTATCCACCAATTAAACGGGAACAAAGAAAATTGAGGCTCCAGCAGATGGAATTCCTTTGGTTGCAACAGATTCATCCGGCTATTTCAAGCTTGAGGAAAAGGTTGTTTTTAGGAGGGATGTATTGTTAGGATTATAAAATAAAGAGAAATTTAGTAGTTAAAGTAGTCATGAGTTGTTAAAGAAGTTAGTTAGTTGAGGTTGTTATAGAGAGTGTGTATAAATAAGAGACACAAAGGGTAAAGAGCATCTTTGAATATTGTAGTTGCAAATAGAATATTCTGTATTGTGAAGGAGAAACCCATGAGAAGAGTTTCTCTCTTATTTCCTTAAATTCCAATGATTTGGTTCCTAACAAGGGTGTCACTCTTCATAAACTCATTTCAGGTCTTCTCTCTTTCCTATATGGGACCTGATATAAAGTATAATGATCATTTTGACAAAATTACCAGATCAGCGAACCATGTCGTTTGTTGCCCAGTTTCAGTTCAGTTCTCATTTTGTTTCCTAAGATTGTTTTTCTGAAGCATAACTAGCCTAGATTGTTAGTTTTTTCATTCAGAGTGCAGTTCTATCCTTAAAGTTTAGCATGCAAAGGCAAGCTAATATTTGCATGTTAGTATAATGACCTAGGTTTATGGTCGTTCTACCTGTTGCGTTCGCCCACCCACCTTCCCTTTTATTATTTTACAGGTCTATTAGGTGTGTGTGTGTGTGTGTGTTAAATTGGATCTTTTGATATGAACTTGTTTTTCCTCTTACACAACACGATATTGAACCATATAATGTAACCTATTTTTAATTGCAGTAGGCCGTATCTATCAAGTTATGATAGTGCAAATTAGAAGATGATTTTTTGTTTGACAGCATTATTTTTACTTTCAGGTTTTGTCTGTGACATTGGATGAATGGTCAGATGATGAAGTAGATGCAATGATAGAAGTTGGGGGAAATGCTTCAGCTAATTCAATTTATGAGGCTTATTTTCCTGAAGGATATACAAAACCCGGACCAGAAGCCAGTCACGAGCAGCGTTCTAAGTTTATACGGTTAGACATGCTTTCATATACGCAGTGAATCATCTGCATGCTGCATCATTTAGTTCCTTTTAAAAATCCTATATCTCTATTCACCACGAAGTAGGTAAAATGCTGAATATTGTTTTTCCTCCCCACTCCCGCTCTCTGGTGCTGAATCATTTATTTTCTTGACATTTTGCTGTTCTTTCAACCAGTCATGTGAAACCCTTAGTTAACTACTTCTATTTTAATCGTGGCTATTTTGACTGCAGGTCAAAATATGATTTGCAAGAATTTTTGAAGCCTAGTTTGCGCATTGTGTCTGGAAAAAGCAGCCTATCAAGTTCTTCCAAAAGTAGTTTTATGGATAGTTTTAAAAGCGCTGGCTCACAGAGAATGGTAACCAATTTTGCGTTAAGTCTGTTGTTTAACTTACTGGTTTTATGAATGAGGGAGACCAAATTTAGTACACATATTTTTGTGAACTAGATTTTCACTTAGTTGAATCATGTTGTACCTGATGAAAGCCTACAAGTTTCATTATGATAAACAATTTAATATAGATAACATGAAGCATGTTGCATTGTCCAATACTTCTGCAGTAATGGCAATGTAGCTATTCTTGTTAGTGATTTCCTTGGATGGTGATTGATATTGTTGGTGACAACAGGAAGGTATGGTAGAATTTATTGGAATGTTAAAGGTGAAAGTGATTAAAGGGACAGATTTAGCCATCAGGGACATAAAGTCAAGTGACCCATATGTTGTTTTGAACCTCGGCACACAGGTTGGTTGTTCTTATATATTTCATTGAGGAACTGCTGTTTTCTTATCTTTTATTCGTAGTTGAAAATCATAAGCGGTGACAATTTTCTTTCTGAAATTCGACTTGGTGGCCTACAGACTATACAGACAAGTGTAGTGAAGAGTAATTTGAATCCAGTCTGGAATGAGGAACATATGCTGTCTGTTCCGGAGGAATACGGACAGCTGAAATTGGTATGTAGAATTTTATGTTATGTATGGTGCACTGCGCTGTTTATTTGTTCTTTTTTCACCTTCCTTCGTCTATATGAGTGGAAGTCTCTATATTGACATGGAAAAGAAGATAGTTAACTTCAGGTTTGTGAACATGTTATTCAATCTTATCAACTGGCTATGTTGCAGAAAGTATTTGATCATGACACATTTTCTGCGGATGATATAATGGGGGAAGCAGACATTGATCTTCAGTCACTGATAACATCTGCCATGGCATTTGGAGACGCTGGAATGTTTGGAGATATGCAGATCGGAAAGTGGTTGAAATCTGACGACAATGCACTCATTGAGGATAGTGCAGTCAAAATTATTGATGGTACGGTTAAACAAATGATGACACTCAAACTCCAGAATGTTGAATCTGGAGAAATAGAATTAGAACTCGAATGGATTTCTCTTGATCAATAATAGCTTCTGGAGGAATGTTGTTAACATATGAAATAACTTATGAAATTTTTCTCTTATGCTTTTGGCTCATAAACAAATAAATCTGCCAGTGTTATAATCATTGGATGCATTTTTTCTCTTGAACCAAACATTGGATGCATTTTTTCCATTGAAAAGTGAGGGGAAAAAATGTAATTTTACTAACATGTTATAATCATATTACTTTCATGTGTAGTTATCAAATTATCAGTGTGCATGTCAATTGGTTTATGTAAAACTTTAGGCTGAAAAATATTTATTTCCCATTCTTATCATTGTCCTGAAGCTGTGGATGTTTGTCTAATTTTTTGGGTGTTTGTCTAATATTTTCTATTTGGTTTTATGAAAACTTCATAATAAATTTTAGGACGTTAAAAAAAATGCATTTTAAATAACATTTTAATTTACTTTAAGTTTTGTTCAAAATATTTGGCATACATTTTACTGTGATAGTAACTAGAATAATAGTAATGATTCGTAGAAAAAAAAATTCTAAATATTTTGAACAAAACTTTGCATTCAAAAAAAAAAAAAAACAAAGCTTACTCACTTCAATTAAAGGGCATTAGTGGTGCTCTAACCCGAATACAAAAGAGAAAATCGGCTAGTCGAAAGGTGAAATTTCTTATCCCGCCATGTAAGGTAGAAAATAGCTTATGAAAATTTTAAAATGTCCTTCAGTTTTTAAATATGTATTTTTGAACGCATCATTTTTATATAAAAACATGTTTTAAGTGAGATTCACTCTTTTTTTTTATAATTTATTTCGGAGATGCAATTTTTGAATTTCAGATTCATCATGTAGACTAAATTCACACGTAAATGAGACACAATCATTTTATTAAAAAAATACAGAAATATATTTTCAAAAACATATGGTAAACAAGGGTATCACTATCAGAATAGCAACAATACCTTCGTTTTTGCTAGTTGTCTTCTAAGGACTAGGGCAAGGGCTAGGACATCACTATCACTTGTTTCTTTGTATTATTGGTTAGAAACTAAACAATACCTTCGTTTTTGCTAGTTGTCTTCTAAGGACTAGGGCAAGGGCTAGGGCATCACTATCACTTGTTTCTTTGTATTATTGGTTAGAAACTAAACAAGACAAAATATTACTTGGAAGACACAAGTGAGATTTGTGAGTAGGAGCAATCCTACATCAGAATGGTCACCCCATAACATTTTTCTCAAAGGAACTAGCACCAAGAAACCAGAAGAAATCGACTTATTTTAGGGAAATGCTAACTATATCTGAAGTTATTGCAAAGTATAGACTTCATTACTGGATTACCTCCCTCTTATGGTTACACTACAATATGGTGGTAATTTATAGGTTGACAAAATCTTCTCACTTTATTCCACTTAAAAGTGATTACAATAGTAAAACAGTGGCAGAGGTTTTCATGAATAATATAGTAAAATTACATGGAATTCCAAAATCCATAGTTTCCGACAAGGACAAAGTATTCACTAGCAACTTCTGAAAAAGGTTATTTAAACTTCAGGGTACAACATTGGCTATGAGTTCTGCATATCATCCACAGTCAGATGGACAATCTGAGATTCTCAACAAGTGCTTAGAGAAGTTTTACTTTTGAGAATCCTAAGGCCTAGTACAAAATTTTAACTTGGGCTGAATACTGGTATAATACAGCTCACCACACCAATATCAGTATGACTCTCTTTAAAGCAATGTATGGGAAGGAACCCCCCCACCCCCCCCACACACACAATTTTAATTTGTTACAAGCATAAGCTAAATGACCATGTTATTCTTCAAGAACAGCTCGAAGAAAGGGATGAAACATTGCAACAACTTACAAATTGGAAAGAGCATAAATTTATATAAAAAACCAAGCTGACAAGAGAAGGGGAGATGTAGAGCTACAGGTTGGGGACAGGGTGCTGGTACGGTTACAACCCTATAGGCAACAATATGCTACTTTAAGAGAGAATCATAAGCTAGGTATGAGATTTTTTAGACCTTTCATAATCATAGTCAAAGTAGGTGTTGTGGCATACAAACTGCAATTACTAAAAGAGGGTGGTGCATTTAGTAATATGTTTTTACTTCAAGAGTGCATCCTCTAACATGTATTTACCCTTCTTACAAAATGCTCAAGCCCAACTTGTTACTCAAGAGTGGTGCATTTAGTAAAAAACTAAAGGTGGTGCATTTAGTAAATATGCTTCTTATTTTTTTGTCTCAGAAGGTTTTCGTCAAACCTTCTTTGACCATTGTAACACCTCAATTTTTATTTATTAGTTATTTTTATTAGTTATTTTATTATTATTATTATTATTATTATTATTATTATTATTATTATTATTATTATTATTATTATTATTATTATTATTATATAATATAATAATTAATTAATTGTGTAATTTTGTGAATATATATGTTATATGTGTATTGGGTCATGGGTGTGAGAATAACAAATGAATAACTGGACCTTATGTGTTACATTAGTGTGAGTTTGTGAAATAAGCCCATTAGAGTAAAACAATAGTTAATATGTGTTTTTTTGTAAAACAAATAGAAAATAGATCTAAAGAGAGAAGTTGTCAAGACAAGAGAAGAGAAGAAAAAGAAAAAGAGGAGAAAAGATAAGGGAAGAAGAGAGAACCCTAGAGGATATACATCCAAGGTAAGGGTGAGTTTTTATTTGATTATGGGAGTATGTGATGTATGTAATGGGTAGCAAACATGATTAGGAAGTTATATTCAATTTCTAGGTTTTTGACATGCTTAGGTCTTGAATGAGAAATTATGAAATTGATGGTTGAATCATATTTTGGTGTTTGTAACTAAACCTACATACTAGATATAGGTTATAATACCTTAAATCGCAGTAAATTTGATGTTAAAATGTATTTTGAGTGAAGAAATAGCACATGGAATCATTCTTTCCACGCAGAATTTTCTGCAGATCGCAGAGTTTGCTTAGCGAAATAAATTCGCTTAGCAAATTAGTCGGGAAGCATAATTTTTATAAAACTTCAAAAATTCATAACTTTTAAACTATAACTCCGTTTGAGTTTCCGTTCAAAGCGTTAGAAAGTTAGCGTGACATTCTTTTCAATAAAAATAGTTTTGTTGGCAGTAGATGATTTAATTATTATATGGTTGTGTAAAATGATATGTATGTGTGTATATGTATGTTGAGAATTGATGTTGGATGAGAATAATATTATTTGACATTGTTTGCTATATTTTATTGTGATGTGTTGAATTGATGAATTCTATGAAAGTGATTCATATATGAATGATGACATGAAATATGTATGTTTGTGTAGTAGTGAGATAATTCAAATTGAGATGAATTATGAGATATATGCTTGTATGATTAAGATTGAGAGATGATCTTAATTGCATATGATTGTTGGTGTATGTATGTGTAATTGTGTGATAATTCAAAATGAGCTGAATTATGAGATATATGCTTCTACAATTAAGATTGAGAGATGATATTAATTGTATATGATTGTTGGTGTATGTATGTGCAATTGTGTGATAATTTAAAATGAGATGAATTATGAGATATATGCTTGTATGATTAAAATTAAGAGATGATCTTAATTACATAATTGTTGAAATTGCACATGCATCATTTGTTGTCAAGAAGTAATATTTACTAGTTTCGTGGAAGCTAGTGACTTGTCGCAAACCTAGAGGATTGGTTTGAAGCTTAGAGGACGAGTTTTTTGGTGGTTATCTGTCTTGGAGATGGACTCGGTTTAAACGTAAAAACTGTGTCAGGATAACAATTGGTACCACATACATATGGCATTGAGTTGCATTCAAGTTAAATGTGTCGATGTGAAATATTGAATTAGTGTGCAATATGTGATATTGATGTGAATGTTATATTTCATGGTATTTGGGATTGATTATCATTAGAATTATGGATTGTTGAGCAATATTGTATATGTAAACATGTGAATTGGATTGGATAATATTGAATACATGAATATGTGATGAATTCAATTGATGTATATATGTTATGCATTGCTTATTATTATATATTTCTATAATGATGTGAATTCTCACCCTTCCGTTGAAATGATATTTTATACGACATCACTCAGGTACCAAAGAGTAGTGGTATTTTCTCGCAAAGATTAGTTAGATGAGCTACTTCTTTGTTTATCCGTATTTAGGTAGTGAGTCATGCTCTGGTCATGTAACACGGGAAAATGTTTGAACTCATGTTGTTTTAAGAAATATTTGGTTATACTCTCTTTTATATTGTTATGTATTGAGATTATGTGATGATTGACCTTTAGTGCCTAATATTTTAATACATGATTTCTACTATGAGATTCAATTTTTGGTATCGTTTTGAAAAGAGAATTATTTTGATGTGATAATGCATATGCGTTAGTGTATAGAACATGATTTTAAATGCATGTTATGAGCATGACCGGTGTATTTGTGTTGGTTTTAAAATACATGTGACACACTCTTTCAATATGCATGATAAATTTACTCTGATTATACTATATTATTGCACGGGACTTTAGGGGATGTTACAATCACAAAGAATAAAAAAGAAGAAGACGAGAGGATAACGATCCTTTATTATTTGACTGCTTAAACATTCACATGTGAATAGTTTCTCCTTTCCATTTATCTAGAATTTGCAGAGCAATGAAGTTTTTGACTTTTTAGATTATCTCTCTATTTCTTCCCATGATCTCTCTCAGTCTCCTGCCTATTTTCCCAAAATTTCTATAGTCTAACTAAAGTTTCCCTCAACTTAACTATTTATTTGCTCTAATTTGATTCATTCTCCTCTCACCCCTCAATTCTTTTTACACACCTACTCTTTCTATTTTCTAAAATTCTATTTTCTATTATTTTATTTTAAATCAAATATTACTCTAATCAATTAAAATGACACAAATATCTAAATTTTTCTAATAAACTTCACCATCCCAATTTAATTAATTAACTATAATTAATTAAATAATTA